CGGTTTTCTAATACAACTGGTATTCTGCCAAAAAAAAAAAAACTATGTGGTTTATTGGTGTTGAAGTAGAGCAAGAGACGAGTGCAACCCCTTCTAAAAAAAATCCTGGATCCGCCCCTGATTAAGGATGCAGTTGAGGAGAACTATAAAAGTGATCATGACTCATGATTATTGAATATCCGGTACCCTCATTAGCACTGAATTATCACTGTAAAAAATACCAATCATTTATGAAAGTGTTTATAGTTCTTTATGTACATGCATGAGAAACAAATACTCATGCAAGAGTGAATTTGTATGAAATGTCCACATACAAGTAATGTTGAAGGTGATCAGTATTTCAATTCTCAACAGGCTTGAGCTTGTTAAGACATGGTTGCCAGAGACATAGTTTTTTAAATTCCCAAACAAAAGACTTCTTTGTTTTCTGTTCAGGGAAAATCTGCTTGGTATGTTTTCATGGCTTTTTGTTCTTTTGTCTTATGTCATCTGTGTCTGGTACACAAAATAAATGCACAAACTTCCATCACAGCCATCCTGTCCACCTATTTAATACACGAATTTATCGTTAATGTAAAGTGCAGAATGGATGGATCTCATAGGAAACCCTATATCTGCTTGTCGTTTGAATTCTTGAAACAATATTGTGCCAATGGAACATCTTTAACTTCGGTGAATATACAGGAATATGTCCCCTCTCTCTGGCTTCTTTGAACGAGTTACATTTTCCCTGACTTATACTGAAAATCCCTGACTTGACTTACGGGGAATGATTATTTTTCTGGCATGGTAACACATGTCACACACTAATATTGTGAGGAGATCCGAGATCCAGATGTTCTTTTCGAATATTAAGTAGGATCGAAAATATGAGGCCAGCAATAATAAATTTTTGCTATGCTTCACTTAAAAGACACAGCTTATGTATAACGCTGCTATACATTAATAATATTTATAAAATAACTAAGATAGTACGCGCGCTCTGATTGGCCGAGAGCAGTGTTTGCATGAGAGTATGTAAACATGGTTGTGGCGTCAAGTTGTTTGGCTTTTCGCGCGATAAAAAAAAGGAACCATTTTTACCCAAGTGTGATAATGTGGTTACAGTTCTACACTCCACCCCACATTTCCCCGGGGTAAGAGGCAATTTTCCTTTATTTTGTATTTCCAGAAAAAGTCCCCCCCCCTTCCCCCCCCCCCCCTCTGACGGAGGGCACTTTTACTTTAGACCCAGACCCTGCGGGAATTTTCTTTTCCAGAGGCTGCTTGTCACACCCTCCTACACCCTGGAATTTCCGTGAGTTTTCATCTTGGTTGGGTACCCCCTGGAGAGTTTATTT